TTATATTGAAATTAATAAAGGTACCTAATTGGGTACTCAGTACTCACTTACATAATTATAAACACTATTTCATCGTCATCTTTGATTTTCATAAGAAAATAGAAATGAAATGGTACTGAATAATTTAATAGTTAAAATCAATTGCAGTTATGATCGACAATCGACAGTGGAGGGAGTGTGTCTGCGCATGGGTACAGTCGCGTTCTAAAGTACTACATGGTATTAGGCTATTGTTTTATAATATAATAGTAGTTAATTGTTTTATTGTAGAATCATAATAGGTACTTTACTAGCTACTTAGAACTTTGGCTCTTCCAAAGAATTAAAAATGGATAATGTTTACTTGAGCATTATTTTTTATTTCTATCGTAAATTAATAAAGTAGATTGTTACAAAAAAATTTAAGCTAAGGGTGACACGCCGTCCATTATACCGTTGGAACATGGAACATGGAAGCCAGATGTCGATGTTGTGTTGGTGTTATTGGATGCTACTTCATCATTACTTTCATTTTCGCTTGAGCTTCTGTTATCAGAATCATCATCATCAATGCGAATAATAAATGTTTCCGTCATCAGGTCGACCACATGGTAATTTTCTCGGTATTCTTCCTCAATACTTTTAACTTTACTACACAATTTTCCCCATTCACCTTCTATTTTATATATCTATTTACCTTTTCTTTCACTAGTTCAGATATAAAACAATAGATATAAATAATTTTTCTTTCCTTCCTTTTTAAAACCATCGTCGCGAGTCGTGCAAAGTAAGCTGTGTGTGCGACTGTATTTTGGAAGCCAACAAAGCACGGGAAGCATGACCCAATAACATGCGCGCACAGTAATACTGGCGAGCGTTCCCCCATCGCGCCCCCTTCGTACTACCAATTTGATCGATAAATCGCTGTGTTCAGGTTCATGGCCAGCGTTCTTTTTACGTGACAGGACCTATAAGAGTGTGGCGTCCAAGCGTACATTGACCCCTAGTCAGCTGATTGTAATTCAGTAAATTTTCTGCTGGTTTTATGTTTAAGAATTTTCATAATTTTTTTTAATGAAATTATCGTTTCATTTAGCTGTACTAACGTGGTGGAGCATGAATAAATCTAAAAAAACGTTGTTAAAAGACGATTTTTTCATCAAGATCGATCGTTTTCGGGAGCGCTTCACGAATACCCTGTATAACTTTTGCTTTAACAAATTATAGAAGAAATCCTTTCTGTCTGTGTAGCACAATGTAATTTAATAAGCTTTCTTTTGTAGTAGCTATAGACCGAATTTCTATAGTTCGAAATCTGTAAAAAAACTGTGATGAACAGAGAATTTTTCATTCTTAGCCGCGACTAGCATGACTCAAGTTGCCAGGTGCTTGGTCTCACGGCAAGTAAAACTATGCGTTTTTTTTTCTTATTACTATTTTTGCATTTTTTGTTATTGTTTTTGTGACTAGTTTAAGTAATCCCTGGAGTATTGTAAATTTGTATAAAGTTGGATGAAAGTAATATGTAGAGGCTTGTAACTAGCAACTCTTATCACCATTTTGTAACTTTACGAAGATATTAGTTTGTAAGCCTTCCTAAAATGAATAGATAAATAAAAAAAATATGAATGTCGTGTCACACCCGTTTAGAATAAAGTTCCTTTCTTAGTACATTACTATTAATAAACGTATTATATTCTTGATTAACAAATACAACTAAATGAATTATTGGCGTCTATTAAAATGAAGCGTCATTTAAAATAAAATAATATTTATTTTTTGGCAAGATAAGAAAAAGTGCGTGAATCATCATTCATCATCATCATTACAGCCCTTCACAAGTCCACTGCTGAACATAGGCCTCCCCCAAAGAATGCCACAAAGCACGGTCCTGAGCCACCTGCATCCATCGACTTCCTGCATATCTTACCAGGTCGTCACTCCATCTAGTGGGGGGACGCCCTACACTTCGCCTGCCGGTACGAGGCTGCCACTCGAGAACCTTTCTTCCCCATCGGTTGTCGGTTCTTCGAGCTATATGGCCGGCCCATTGCCACTTCAGCTTACTAATCCGTTGGGCTATGTCGGTCACTCTAGTTCTACTGCGGATATCCTCATTTCTGAGTTTATCACGCAGAGAAACTCCGAGCATAGCCCTCTCCATAGCTCGCTGAGCGACCTTGAGCTTCCTCATCCGGCCAGCAGTGAAGGACCACGTCTCAGTTCCGTATGTCATCACTGGCAACACGCACTGGGTGTACAGTCTCGTTTTCAAGTTTTGAGGTATACCTGACGAGAAGATGTGCCGTAATTTCCCGAACGCTGCCCAACCGAGTTGAATCCGTCGATTGACCTCTCGGTCGAAGTTGGACTTACCTAGTCGGACTATTTGTCCCAGGTAAACATACTCGTCAACAACTTCGAGCTTAGTGTTCCCAACAACTACCGGCATAGGTGTGACATGGACATTAAACATGATCTTAGTTTTCTCCATGTTCATCTTAAGACCTATCCGTTGGGAAACACTATTGAGGTCATTGAGCATAGTGTTTAGGTCCTCCAGCGATTCTGCCATAAGGACTATATCGTCGGCAAATCGAAGGTGAGTGATGTACTCGCCATTGATGTTGATACCGTATCCTTTCCAGTCCAGAAGCTTGAAAACATCTTCCAATGCAGCGGTAAAGAGTTTCGGGGATATGACGTCACCCTGTCTTACACCTCTCTGCAATTGGATAGGTTTCGTACTCTGGTTCTGTACTCGGATAGCCATCGTAGCCCTACTGTACAAGCACTTCAACACTTCGATATACCGACAGTCAACTTGGCATCGCTGAAGGGACTGCAGCACCGCCCAAATTTCGACGGAATCAAAGGCTTTCTCATAGTCCACATACGCCAGACATAGTGGCAAATTGTACTCCTCGGACTTCTGTACAATTTGCCGAAGGGTATGTATGTGGTCTATGGTGCTAAAGCCTTTTCGGAAACCAGCTTGTTCGGGAGGCTGGAAGTCGTCAAGTCTGCGCGCGAGATGATTCGTAATGACTCTCGAAAACAGCACGTAGACGCGGCTCAGAAGGGAAATCGGTCTGTAGTTCTTCAAGAGAGCGTTGTCGCCTTTCTTGAAGAACAAGACCACCGCACTTCTGCTCCACGCCTCCGGTGTAATGCCACCATGGAGAACGGAATTAAAGAGCTTCTGAAGGACTTCAAGTACCGGTTTTCCACCCGCTTGCAGAAGCTCCGCTGTAATTCCATCCTCGCCTGGGGCCTTGCCGTTTTTAAGGTGCTGGAGAGCCATTCTAATCTCGCTCAGACTGACGTCCGGGATATCATCGGAATAATGTCGGATAAGACTCGCTCTTGGATCGTTACTCACACTTGCGTGCGGCTCCAACGATGACGTGTACAGCTGCCCATAGAACCTCTCAATCTCACTCAAAATCTCAGGTGCCCCGGAAACGATGCTGCCACATTCTGTCTTCAGCTTTGACAGTTGGCGCTTTCTGGCAGACAGATCTCTGGCAAAGACTTTGGAGCCTCGGTTCCGCTCGATCGCTTCTTCAATACGAGCTGTATTGAATTTGCGTAAGTCCCGCCGCATGCATTTGGAGATCTGTCTGTTCAGTTGCCTGTATGCTGTTAAATCTGTTGAAGAATGTAGCTTCATCTCCCGTCTAACAGCCATGAGATTAAGAGTGTGATCGGAGAGTTTTTGTGTTCTTCTGCGGCGGGTCTTGCAGAACTTAGCTCCGACCGCATGGACAGTTTCCACGAGCTTGTCATTCAAATCGTCCACTTCATTGCAGTCTTCTAGGCACTGAAAACGGTTTTGTAACTCGAGCTGAAAGGTTTCGGGACTTTGGATTAGAGCACGAGGGGGACGGAGCGTTGACTTCATTAGACGAGACCTCTCCAACTTAACGTTTAGGTTCAGTGTGCCTCTAACCATTCGGTGATCGCTGCCGGTTTTCACCCTCGCGATCACTGAGACATCACTGAACAGTTGTCGTCTGGTCGTCATAATGAAGTCAATCTCATTTTTTGTCGAACCGTCGGGGCTCGACCAGGTCCACTTCCTGTGGGGCCGCTTCTGGAAGAAAGAGTTCATCATAAAGAGTCCCTCTTTCTCCATGAAGTCGGCCAGCTGCTGGCCCCTTGGGTTCCGTTGCCCTATTCCAAATTTCCCTACTTTCAGCTCACCGTTCTCTCTTGTGCCTAGTTTTGCATTGAAGTCTCCCATTAACACCGTATATTGGGTTTTGGAGGAATGCATGGCTCTAGAGATATCCTCATACATTTCCTCCACCTCCTGATCGGGGTGTGCCGAGGTTGGTGCGTAAACCTGTATGACCTTCAGCGAATACCGTTTGGTGATTCTGAGTATAAGGTACGCAACCCTCGTCGACACACTCTCAATCTTTACAACGTTGTTAACGAGAGACTTGTGGACGATAAATCCGACACCTCCTTGGGACAGATGGTCGCCCTCCCGGTAATAGAGCAAGTTGCCGGATTCGAGGATTACCGTGTCCTCCCCCTCTCTTCGGACTTCGGATAATCCTATAATATGCCAGCGTAACTTGTCTATCTCTTCTTCCAGCTCCACAATCTTCTCGTCAGTCCTCAGGGTGCGTGCGTTGTATTTTGCCAGGTCGAGTCGTCGTAGGTGGCAACCGAACCTCCACCGGAGATTCTTAGCACCCCCTGCCCCGCCGTTACCATGGTCGCCACCGTAGCCAGGAATAGCGGGGCCGCCGGGGACTGGGGGCCGTTTATTATTGTCATTGCTCATGGGGGGTATATTGCCATAGTTGCCACGCTTGGCGAGCGGGTTGGCAACCGCAGTTTTTTTATATTAGTGCGTGAAAGATGGATATAATTCCATCTCGCTTCTTTATTTATGTCAGAAGGAGTTGTGACGGAAAAATGTTATACTTTTACTCGCCTAGCCCTCCAGTTCCAGTTCGTTCTAAAAAAAGAAAAAATATCATCCCTACCCTGATTTGTATATGCAGGTGGCGCTGCGTGCAGTGCGGGGGCGCGTGGTCGCGCGCGGGTGTGGGCGCCGACCACGTGGCGCGGCAGCACGGCGCGCCCGCGCCCGCGCACCGCTGCTCCGTGTGCGGACACCGCGCGCCGTCAGTACCCAGCCCACCACGCACTGCACACACACACTCACACACCACGTGCGTACTCACACATACTGCATACACTCACACTTACTGCATGCACACTCAGACACACCGCATGTACACATACACTTACCGCATGCATACACACTTACCGCATGCGAACTCACACTTACCGCATGCGAACCCACACTTCCCGCATGCACACTCACACTTACCGCATGCATACACATTTACCGCATGCACACTCGCACGGGCCGCATGCACACTCACACCTGCCGCATGCTCACTCACACTTACCGCATGCACATTTACACTTACCGCATGTACTACTGTCACCCATGTTTAACGTCCAAACGGGCGTAAAGCAGGGTTGTGTCATGTCTTCCTGGCTGTTCATACTGTATCTCGACAGCTGTTTACAGAAGCTAAAAGATAGTTGTTTGGGTGTGAAATTGGGTGACATATAAGTAAATTGTTTGCTGTATGCTGATGATGCAGTGCTTATTGCACCATCAGAGGCAGAACTGCAGGCATTAGTCACGTGTATGAAAGAGGAATGTGAAATTAAAGGTCTCCGTTTGAATGCTAATAAAACTAAGGTTCTGGTATTTGAAAGGGACGAAGAGAGAACGAAGTGTGAAATAATCAGGAATGTCTAGAACAGGTAAATGAAATTGTATACTTGGGGAGTGCTTTTAGCCGGGATGGAAGATGTGATTTAGATGTGGACAGGCGTGTCGCTGCCGGGAACAAAGTCAATGGTGCCCTGACTGCGGTAGTCAAAAGGCAAGGCGTAGCGAAGAGTGCACGCCTTGCAATACATAACGCAGTGTTGGTACCGACTTTGTTATATGGCAGCGAAACCTGGGTATGCCAGAAGAAGCATAAAAGTAAGTTGAATGCAGTGGAGATGCGATCTCTTCGTAAAATGTGCGGCGTTACCATGGCCGACCGAAAGCGAAACGAAGAGATTCGCAATATGGCAGGTTTGAAAAATGATCTTATCACAAAAATTGATAAGGGCGTTGTTCGCGCTAAACGCTAATTTCAAGAACGAACGCGAGAGGGCGCGCGGCTCAGTGTCATACCGGTTTGACATTCGGTCGTGCGTAAAACGCCCAAGGGCAGTCAGTCGTCCTTAGGCAGTGCTCACGATTGGCACGCAGTCATTTTGTCGGAAACTCGGAATAATTCGGCGCGGCCAGTAAATATACGGTCTACCATTGTGACGCGCATTCCTGCTGGAGAGCTTCCCAGGGACTCATTGTGTTTGAATCAGAATCTGCATAAGTGCATTAGGCAATATTAGCTAGTGCGGCCTCTGATATTCTAGAACTAACTGTTGCGACGCGAAACGGTAGTGACCTTTAATCCGTAAACTCCGTGTGCGTTTTGTGTGTTAACCTTATAACCCGCGATAGTTAGTGGCTTCTGTAAGTTAGTAAATCGTACGATAGAGTTAATTGACTGTCATCGTGACGAACGAGGAAAGCGACTGTGGTCCGGCGCCGAAGCAGTCTGAAGCAGTGTGGCAGCATTTTGGAGCTATGCTTGACAAGGCCCCACACATTCACCCCTCACTGTACACTACTCTCCATCCACTATTACACACACTCACGGCCTGCCCAAGCCTTGGTGCGAAGTTAGCTTCGGATAATGGTAAGTACTATGTCCTTCTAACATTACACATTATAAAAAACCCAAGGCGTCTAGTATACACCTACTGCATATCACACCACATCCTTTTGACTCTTTAAACCGTGTAAACCAATTCTTCGCAACTATTGGAAAAAAACTTGCGGATGAAATCATAACCCTAACTGGACAAGCATCTAGATCTGTCACTTACTTAAATTCACTATCTCAAATTAACTCGTTCGTCCTACTTGAGACAGATCCAGCAGAAGTGGATAGCATACTTGGATCACTTGACTCAGAAAGTGCTTCGGGGTGGGATTGCATACCTGTGGGTTTCCTTAAATTATCTCGAGAACTAGTCGTTCCTCTTATTAGCCAGTTGATTAATATGTGTTTCGAAACGGGCGTATTTCCTGATGCGCTAAAACGTTCTATAATTACACCCGTGCACAAAGATGGGGACAAGAGTGATGTTAACAATTATCGGCCGATATCTGTCTTAACATCCCTTTCAAAAATAATAGAGAAAATATTAAACAAAAGGCTACTAGTAAGTTATTTAAATAAATACAACATTATTTCAGATTCACAATACGGTTTTAGACAGGGACGGTCAACTCAGGATGCGATCATTGCGTTAACATCTGAAATCGTTAATAAGATAGACAATGGTTATAAATGCGTTACGGTGTTTCTAGACCTGAAAAAGGCTTTTGACACTGTATCTGTTCCCATCCTTGTGCAGAGACTTGAAGCTATAGGGATAAGAGGTAAAGCTCTCTCCCTCTTTGACAGCTACCTCCGAGGTAGGAGACAGCAAGTTAAAATAGATAACTTGCTTAGTGAGGAGGAAAACATTATTTACGGTGTCCCACAGGGCTCGGTTCTCGGCCCATCACTGTTTCTAGTGTATATTAATGAATTATGCAACCTACGAAGCAGTGGTGGGAAAACCTTCTCCTACGCGGACGACACGGCCATCGTTTACATTGGGGACTCGTGGGAAGAAGTATGCAATAATGCCGAGCAAGGATTAGTTGTTATAGATAGATGGCTCAAAGCCAGTCTGCTAACCATTAATGTGATTAAAACGAACTACATTTGTTTTTCTCCTAGTTTAAGATCTAAACCAGGCCAAAATTTTAAAATTAGAATACACACGTGTGCGGACCACTTGAACCATAATTGTAATTGCCAGGTCCTTAAACATATAACGTCCACAAGATACTTGGGAATTATAGTTGACGAGTGTTTAACTTGGCATTCGCATATTGAGATTGTTACATCACGGGTGCGCAAATTTATATGGATTTTTAAAAATTTAAGATATGTGATGCCTCAGAAGACACTAAATAGCATCTATATTATGCTTACGCAATCAGTTCTTACATATTGTTTACCAGTCTGGGGAGGAGCCACTAAAACTAAATTCCTTGAGTTAGAAAGAGCCCAAAGGTCACTTATAAAAGTAATGTACTATAAACCATACAGATACCCCACCGACGATCTATATAGAATCAGTGGCTTACTTTCAATTAGAAAACTATATTACTTAATTACGGTCCTATACTTACAAAAATCTATTCCATTTAACCAAGACAGTCAGGAGAGGAGACGAAAAGACATAGTGGCTTACTCCCTAAGGGTCCGAACCGCTTTTGCACGGCGTCAGTATGCAACCCAATCAGTCTACATTTATAATAAAATAAACGTAAAATTAAAGTTCCACCATGAGGTACTACACGTATGCAAAAAGGTAATAACTGAGTGGTTAAAAACCTTAACATACGAAGAAACTGAACAAATTTTAGAAAGACTTAGTTAAGCAATTTTTTTTCTTCTTTCTTATCAATAATGTACGTACTCACCGAGCTTAATCTATTACATGCACTTCGAACACACCGGCACTACAAAGAAGACACACCCTCACACACATAAACGCACGCACACACACACACACACACACACACACACACACACACACACACACACACACACACACACACACACACACATACACGCACGCAAGCACGCACGTTTAAAAACAAGATGCACTACAGTTTCACACAGGCGTACAACTACAGTTACACAAAGAGCTAATAATTACTTTATAAGTCACTTACTGTTATTTTTTCTTCATAAATTTATCTTTACTTACCTTTTGTATAATAGTCTCAATATTGTTAATAATTAAGGGAAAGAGCGAGATAGCCCCAACACAAGTATTATCAATTACTTACTGGGGATGTCTCATTTATAATTCATGTAACTGTTTTGAGACAAATAAACATTTTCATTTTCATTTTCATTTTCTAACGTCCTCCCATCTGGTTTATTGTAATTAGGAATTTCCACGTGGCCACATTGAGGCCCGACCTACGTCTGCTCGGGAAGTCTTCTGCTCATGGGCCCCAGAGGATTGGACCCTTTAAGGGAGCAGCCGTAGGCCGTAACAGGCGTGCTTCGGTGGTTTGGGCACGTTGAGCGAATGAGTGAAGACCGAATGGTGAAGAAAATATATAGCGCAAAAGTTAATATTAAAAGGTGTCGAGGTAGACCGAGACTAACTTTCGAAGACCATGTGAGCAAATTGCTCGAAGAGGGTAGGGTCAAGAGTACTCGGATACCTAGACGTGCATGCATGAAGAAGATAATGAATCTGAAAGAAACGAAAGAGGTTTGTAAGGATCGTGACACTTGGCGATCTGTTCTCTCTGGCTACCCCGTCAGGGATTGTGCGTGAAGATAAGTAAGTAAGTAAGCATGTACTTTCACACCTACCGCATATAACAACACACTTACCGTATGATACACGCTTACCACATGACACACACACCGCGTCTACACACACTTACCGCATGCACACTCACACTTCTTGCATGTACACTCACACTTACCGCATGCACATTCACTTACCGCGTGCACACTCACATTTACCGCATGCACATTCACACTTAACGCATGTACATTCACACTTACCGCGTATAACAACACACTTGCCGCATGTCACACACTTACCGCATGTAAACGCACACTTACCGCATGACACACACACCGCATCAACACTCTCACTTATCGCATGCACACTCACACTTCCTACATGTACACTCACATTCACCGCATGCACACTCGAACTTACCACCTGTACACTCACACTTACCGCATGTACACCCACACTTACTGCATATAACAACACACTTACCGCATGATACACACTTACCGCATGTACACGCACACTTTTCACATGACACACACACACACCGCATCTACACTCGCACTAACCGCATGCACACTCACACTTACTGCATGTACACTTACACTTACCGCAAGTACACTCACACTTACTGCATGGACACTCACACTCACCG